CTGTCCGAAAACCGTTTATTGGACTTGGATTGGGCGATGGACTGATAACCATTTGCGAGTTGGCTTACTAGAATGAATTCGGAAGTCTTTCGTAAGGTGATGCGTCTCTAAAAGCGGTCAATTGTCCGAGCCGGTTTTCCACGGGATCTCCGGACCACTAGTTGCTTTCTTGGATAGCGATTGAAAAAAGCATTCGAGGACCAATGGTAATTTTTTTTAGGATACAATCACTCTCCAACCACAGAGCGCTTTTTCAAGCAGTGGGTACTGAAAACACTGCTGTTCTAGTGTGCTAGTTGAACGGAACAGTTTACCTTCAGAGTGAATATTGGGTTAATCAGGCACGACGGTAAACAACAGTGGAAGCAAAAGGCGGGAATTTTATTAGGAAGACCGATCAGGGTATTGCATTGCTTGCACCTACTTAGACGTGAACGTTGTTTTGTAGGCCATTACGGGGTTCACCCAAGTGTTTTTTTATGCTGCACTTCGGATTTCCAGTCTTCGGTTCCTGAATTCACTTGGGTTTAGCCTTGTGGATACCGTACGGGTACCAGGACTTTCCTTAACGAATTGGAACGCACTGTTTCCTCGATAAACACCGAATCTTTTAAAATGTCATTCTGAAACGTATAATAGTTGGTGACATCTTCCTCAAAGGGCAGATCGAAATGAATGATTTTCTATGGGACGATTAAAATAAAATTACGTGTCCATATTAGTTGAGAACTCATCGATAAATTTTAACGGATGTTTGGTTTCAGTCGGTCAGAAGGCGTGCTCAACGCCCTATTCGCTCACCTCTTGCAGTCTGTGGAAAGTGATTTTGATAACTATATTTTTGCACAAAGCTTTTGGAGTGCGCATACTGCCCAGTCCATCCCTCTGCCGTCCACTTAGACTAATGTCGACACACAACATACTGTTGTCCGGTCAAACATTTCAGTAGCTTGGAGGACCATTGTACTTGTTACTAAATTGAACGCACGGCAAAAGGTTCATACGCCATCTATAGGCATATGTTTGCAGACCGTTTATATTCGAGATAATGGTTCCACAAGGACTGCGCGGTGATGCCATCTACTTACAAGAGCAGCGAACACTTGGTTAGTCCCTCATAAAAACCAAAGAAATCATTCAGCTGTAACACCCTTTCGGTGCCTACCTGCCATGCAACCCGAAGGAAGCACAAGGGCTTAGATGCTGCCAGGTTGCCCAAGCCTAGACAGGGGAAGTCGAGAGGCAGAGGTCGGGTTCGAAGCATGCACCTTCCGGTCAGCGAACTCATGCTCTAACCACCTGAACCATTTCGCCCCTATAGACCGCATAAAAACTTTTTGTTTATTCGTAGTCAGCCCATCCGGTCCTCACACATTTTGGTATTTCGGATGGTGTGTGTCCTCCCTCAAGCAGACAGGGCTGACCAACGCTCTGCGGACAGCGACAACATAAATTTGTCACTACAACCATTCAGCATCTGATTTCGAACATGGTTGTCCCGAAAGGTGTGGGGATTAAATGAATTATCGAGGAGCGAGATCGCGGGCATTTTAGAGAAGAGCTCCCAGAGATATGGGCTGAATAAATTGGGGACTGATCGTCATATGTAACTTTAATGAAAACCCAGATCCGAGGCGTTCTTTCGGACATGATAGAATCTCGGTAAAAAGTGAAGTGGGCTATTAATATCCGTTTCACTGCAATATATGCGTGGTCATGCGACAATATGCGCACATTTTCCCTACGAATTTGATTGCCTCTTTCCTTTCCTTTTTCAGCTTGCATTTGAATCGTTTGAGTCGGACATCTTGTCTCGGATGGCTAATTTTACCGGATAATGGCGGACTCCTTACAATGCTTTCAAGCCCCACTGTACATAAGAGTGATGCAAGTAACAGCTATTTATATGTTCAAGTGCATCTGTCAATATTTTGTACAAATAGAATTCACGTAATTAGTTGGGATTTTCGGACATTTGTCAATCCGGTATGTGCGTCAGCAAGTGGTCGCTTATCGCCTTGAATAGAAACAGGCAAAAAAACAGGCAAACAGGAATTGATGTTACGATGGTAAAGGAACCGCAAGGCGTGAATAACTTGTTTGTGGGGCTGTTTGAAATGTAAATGCATGATACAGCCTCACCTCAGTATGACAAACGATGCTCACCATCCTGATAAAGTGGGTGTTACGTGGTTAATTATCCGATGCAAAGGCAATAACTGACAGCCCGATCGCTACGACACATTTGAATCGGTTGAGTCATGAGCAAGGAGGAGGAAGGGCATGAAACAGGGCACAAGCCGAAAGACCTCTGATACCACTCCAGTGAAGAGCACTGTCTACCCAGAGTGGCTGCGGAAGAGAGTGGTGTGTCGGGCTACTGAGGTTATGCTAACTAAACCGAAATCAAGCCATTGGGTAGCGTGAAGAGTGAGAACTAAGCACCACACGTCCGGTGATGTGTGTGTGCGTAGGCCTCTGTACTGTATCATTAAGAACCTTTGAACGTGTGCTCACTAACTTATCTGTTTGTTTTTAGCTAAACCGTTGAAATTAAGTTGATACAGATGGGTGTTGCGACTGGGAGGGGAATTTCAGTGCACTACCTGTACATTCTGGAAGTTGATGTCGCTTTCGGAATTCCTGTATCATTAAGGTTGATGTTTGTTTCTTTTTCACCTCACTTGGAGAACTTGTTTCGGTTGAAGGAGACGGTTCATCGTTGTCCCCAAACAGATCTCAAGTAGATCCGAATTTCCATCGAGCTCGTTTCTTACGTGAACATCTTTTTATGTACTGCACATCAGGTTCTATGGTTTAAGTTTACAAACCACTGAAAAACGACCTGAGAAGCCCGTGGCGGCGGTAGGTCATGGTTATAAACATGACCCTGAGGGAAACCAAGTTCCCGAATAGGGGTTTGCCTTGTTAGCGTCACTTTCGATGTTTGCTATGAAGGGTCTTTAAGTATGACACGAGAACAGGGATGAATTATGCCATTTACATATGGATATTCTGGTAAGGGTGTGTCCATTGAAACACTGGAATACATGCGAAGCCTTCATATAGTCAACTTGTTCAGATCTGACTTGGATACTGACCTTGATGCTCTGTGTATCAGTGAACCTCGTTCGGCATCTTCCTGCACCCCAGCGACACATGACAGACTTCTGATTTCCAAATATTAGATGCGTATCCATCACGTGTGAGACAAGATCCTTCCGACTTTCGAAGCCGATGCCGCACTGGTGTCCGAAAGGACCATACTGTTGAGGAGAATCGATGGAGGATTACAGACTTGTTATGAAAATGGGGCCAACACCATAATGGATGAAGTGGGATGTAAATGAGAAAGATTACCCTGATTGAACCAATGTACTATTCGACTACTCTGCTCCGGACGCAGAGTAACGCGAGTGTTTAGCTCACCATTTCTAAAATACAAACAGCCCGATACTAGCATTTGGGCACCTCACCAGTAGATGAGTGGTTCTATCTGCTGAACGACGCAGGGAACTGGCAATCGAACGGAGTAATCTGTGATATAAGTGGCGTGGAAATTGATTTGGCAATAAATATACTGATTGTTTTGAAACAAACTAGTTACTGAGCGGTTATCGCGCTTCCCAGCAAAGCTCATTTCAGCAATGTCTCGTCCGATAAAGATTATTTTTAAATCAAACGCTTCTCTAGAGTAGATGCACCGTCTGCGTACATGTGAAGGCATTTGCCCAACAAAAAAGGTAAACACCGACATCACTTACCAGACACGTGTAATTATTGACAGGCTCAGTTATGCATATCACTGTTACGGTCCCGTCAAGTCCACCGGATATCAGCTGTTAAAGACGAAATAGAGAACCGCGATTGGAAGACAATAAAGTGAGTCCTGTTCATGGTAGGCTAGGGGAAACAACATAACTAGCTCATGTATGGATGAAGCGCAGCAACAGCACCCAGACCACATCATTGGTGAGCACTCCTTACACCACGCGTCAGGCTGCCAAGAAAATGTTAGAAACCACAGGATGATCAGCTTACGACTACATAACAAGCTGTTTGTGTCTGGGCAACAAAAATGGTTTTGCGGAGCCAGAAACCAACCAAATATGAGTTGCATTTCAACAAAGAGCTACAGGTGCCGTTTATATTCCTTTTCTTAAAGAGTACCTCACGTTAATCATCACTTCCTGTAAAAATCCAAAGGGTTTACACGTGGGAAACATCCATTCCAATCGTGAATTAAGAAGAGCTCAGGACAGCCAAATAAACTAGTTGGATTTGTCGGGTGGATATAGTAGGGTTCAGTCACCTGATTTTTTTTTACATCTAACAGAAAGCCGTTGCTGACCACACCGCGCACACGGCAAAGAGGAATATAGGTGAGTGTTGCTTGCTTATCAAGTTCGCCGAAAGGTTTTTAAAGAGTCCGACAACTGCCTCTAACTTTCAACGACCCTCAATATCTATCAATTCCTAACAAATTTCGAGGAACAGTGCCCTGTTGTATACTTATTCGCCCTGTTTCAAACTGAACATTGAAATTAATTAGTAGGTACAGCCGGAAAGCACTGAGCTCCGGCTTTTGACCGTTCGAGCCATACCAAATAAAATTTCACTCGCTTACCGCTACGCCACACGAAGTTAGGGAAGTGATGGCGGACCGATGGGATGCGTAGTACACCTTGGTCGGGCGATGACCGGGAAGGCCGTTTTGCTATTTGTACAGAAAAAGAAAAGTGAGATGGAGAGGTGAGAGGCAACCTACCAACTCCTCTTCTATTTTCCTACAAAGTTATTTTAAGAATCCTACCGGTAGTAATTCGCCAGTTGCAACTATGAGTATATTGAGTAATTGGCAATTAAGAAAGTAATAGTGCAGACGACTGATGTCGAAGACTATAAGAGAACATGCCAGACATGAATGTGGGAGAAAACAGAAGAGGGCTCAGTAATCAAGGCTATCAGCTGAGCAAAAAACTGACTGGATGCCTAAACCACAACATGCATTGATAGCGATGGGTTAAACATGACGATAAATAAGCGTGGTGAACAAATTTTAAGCATGGTGTTAGTAGGTGGAGACCTCTAAAAACGCTGAACCGTTTCGGACACCAACCTATTGGACACCACAGAAGGAGAAGCTGAGCATCATTAAACTGATAATCGAAGAGTCGACTTGCCTGGATTTTGTACACACGGATAGTTCCCTCAGAGTCTCCGACAGCAATATACCGCTGAAGCACACAACAACTGGTGATCTTCTGGGTTTGCAAGGTCAACACTCCAACTCCAGTCTGGAAATGGAAGCCAAAGACGAAATTAGTGAACAAATTGAACCTCAGGCATCTCCTCTGTTACCCCCCAAATCATTGGTGAACGAAACTGCGGCAGCTACAACCACTGTACGACGAGTACGCGGTTATTACAGCTAACAATAATGATGATGATGACGAGAAACCGAAACGGTCCAAAATATAGGGGTCTCGAATACACGATTTCCGGACAAGGAAAAAACCGGATATAAAAGAACAAATGATATTGTTCAGTTGTGCATACTGACTCTGAATATCATTAACAGAGGGGACCGAATTCACAAAAAACCACACGAACCTTGCTGAAACTTAGTGATACCCACCTTCCAGTTGTGGATACGTAGTGCTCGTTCGGAATAGGAGCAAAAATTGCTTCCACAAGGCATGCCGGTAATACCACCAGGAGGACCTTTGTGCGGAGCAGATGTGATACACCGAACCAAACTTCCATCGCTGGCCTCACGGACAAAGAGAGAGCAATCCTGAAATAAGTCACACGGGAACCAGTGTATTTGTTAGGGAGATAAAAAAAACCCATCAGTCCCAATAACCGAATACTGCTCAAGAATGAATGATCCTATTAATGGTCGAACAAAGTTCTGCAAACATAACGACTTGAGAATGGAGATTTAAACCACCAACGTATCTCACAGAATTCAGTACTTGGAGCCTTGAAAAAGAATCTGTAGAAGGCGAGGACTACCAGATTGATGGATTTTAATATGAGGATGGTGAACAGGCGTCATTATGTTCTAGAAAAGTAAAACATGCAGAATGGTTCTGGAGGGTAACTCTTCACTCCTTCTGGCGGTGTGCGAGGAAAACCCATTCGCAGCGAGCAGAGTTGAGCTTGTTTATTCAGCAACTCCTAGCCCAAGGAAATACCGTCAGTCTCATTGCGCTTTGGTTGGCGAGGCTGAGGTGGCGGACAGGTCAAAACATCACTCATTACGGGGAATGCTGCTTAATTCGTTCACGGTGGACAATGATGGAATTCAAGCTGCAATTTTTGGCATCAGCTGGGCCGGATCCTCAACCAAAAGCGTCAAGACAGAGCGATTATTGGCTGGTTTGTTCGTCGAGCCCGATAACGGATTAACAAGAATCGCAAGTCAATTGGCAAGCTCAGAAAACAAATGAATTATCACTAAGCGCACCCAATCTACCGCCATCCGACACACTATTTAAAGGTATTAAAAAAGTAAACTTGTGAAGCTTCGCAGTTCGTCTCCTATTTTTAACCACGTCAGTCATCTCATACATCAGCGTTGCGACATCGGAAAACTACCGTAGCAGTTCTAACGGTGCAGTGAAGTGCGAAACCAATACCATCAGCTAAAAGACGGACCACTTACCCGGTAACCAACCAATAAGAAAAGTCGGGGCCCAGAACGTACTACTGCCATTGAACTGATTGCACAAATGGGGATTTGAGAAAAGAGAACAGATGTAGTCCGATCCACCATATGATGGCGCAGGATATCGCCACTCGACATCCCGAGGAAGATGAAGGGAACATCGCTCAAGGGTGCGGTGGCCAATGCTTCAACACGATTTGAAAAAGATTTTTCCCACAGCAGAGTTCCTGTCTAGGGGTGCAGACATAGGAAGGTAAATGTGAACGAAAACAACCAGTCTAATCAGTTAATCCTATGACGTAGACTGTTCAATGCTTTCCCGTCCAGACGCTATGCTCCTTCCCACTGGGGAACTGTACTTAAACCTTTGGAATTATATTGAAACAGACTGACAAAACTTCACCCCGTATCTGAGCTATTTTTCGGCTACTCGAATTCCTGAAGAGCCAATCAAGTATGAGTGGCGACGACACACGGTGCTGAAGCATTGCACCGATCACCTACACAATACACTCATGATAATCGGTCGACTGGTGGTAAAAAGTTTACAGTCGAACTTCTAACTTCAGCTAATAATTTATGTGATTTTTCAACCTCTGCATATTCAATTGCAAGGTAACCGCATGCGGCGATTCCTCAACACTTGGTAGCACGCAATGTGCCAGAGGTTACACTTTTCACGGCAGCGGACGGACATAATCGTGTGACGAGGCTGACGGCACCAACAATGGGGCCCTCAAACGCATACCGCGGCATGCGGCGGAGGAAAGCAGTTTGATGGTCTACAAGTCAATATGAGTCAAGTTAAACGTGTGAAAAATTGTGGTACACTTCTTTAAAGACTACACTCCAGAAGGCAGTAATATAGTTGCCATATTCGTGAAGGTTTGCACCATCTCCTCAGTTATGTAGAAGAAAACTCCTTAAAATGAGTTCGGTGTAAAAGGTCCTGCTTGTTCGACGGCCCATAGTTACCGAAAACTGGTTTCTTCCGCCTGTGTTTAATAATGGGACGTCCTTCTTCTAAGGGGTAGGGGAGGGGAGTAAACTGGGAAGAGTAAAGAACAGTAAGCCTTAAAGTGTGTGCTTACTGTTCGAGGGCTTTGATCCTCTGAGAAACCAACGATCTCACCGAGGGGACTATTAGAAGGCAGGATCCCTAAACGTGAAGAAGATGGTTTCTCGTTCACGCGAGGAAATTGAAGCAGCGATTGAGAAATCAGGTCAATTGTCCTTCAAGCACAAATACGTTCTGAAATATTTATTTTAGCTTCACAAGAATTTCTATTATTGTAGTGGGTCCTGAAAGTTGGCCTCTCAAGAAAGCTGGTTGACCCGAATCGGCCTTAATAATATATTCCATTCAAGATCACGACGGCAAAGGAGAAGCTGCTTTCTGATCAAAGGAAGAGACTACACACTAAGTCCTAACTGACGGCAACTGTTGTTGTGAAGCCTCAGAGGAGGCAGTCCCTTTCTTGCGGTGATTACCCTATTCACCGGAATCGTGAAAGTACTACAGAAAACAGCGCGCAACAAGCAGGGAGTAGTTGCATACATTATCCTATCCCCATAAGATAGCATCCTACGTGCTTTGAAAAAAAACATACCTGGATATTGTATTCGGCCAAATGGTTATCATAGTAGGCAGTGAACAAGGAACGCTCTTGCGGATCGAAAGCCATTTTTGTAACACTGGCGTCGCGGGAAGCAATCTGTTTTACTCGCTGGTGGGTCTAGAAGGACCGTAGCGAGAGACAGCTCGTGAGGATACCAAAACGACAGAATAAGATAGAGCGATCCAGAAACAGACCGCCAAAATATAGCATAAAAGTAAACTAACATTGAAGCATAACTGCATTTATTTTGGGAACGTACACTACGAAACTCACTCAACGAACAGATACTGTTCATCCAGGAAGAGATAAGATCCGCTTAGGTAGTACCTCACACATGTATATACACTAAAATGTGTCATTCGGGTCAAACGCTTCTGAAGGGAGTACACTTCTTGGAAGATTTCATAGCCCGAAGTTCCCACTAACTTTTCCGGCTCTGCAGGGACCGGTCCAAATTCCCTACAACCCAAGATTTTTTCACCTCAAAGAAGCGCTTTTAGTTGTAACACAGAAGGAAATGAAAAACAAAATGTTTGACGGGTCACGTGACAAATTTGGACGAAGTCACCTTGGGATGCAGGCTAAAGCAATGACTCAGCACTCTCCTTTGATGTATTCTTTGTATCCAACTACAGATGGTGGACAGAAACATATGTACACACAACCTTTCGATGGTTTTGCTCTGTTTTGCAAACGATGGACACTAATATCCGTTGGGAGATTGGACCAATAAGAATGTACTATCATTTATTGTGTTGCTTTGCATGAGGAGGTTGGTTCATTTCGATTTAGAAAGCAAGTGAATTAAGGTCATGACCAAGGATGAAGCTATCAAGCGATCGCACGGTTATCTTTTCCGTACATCAGTGTTATGCTGTGGGCCGGAGGCATTTTCCGCTCTGCTGCAAGAGTTTCTTCTTTCTGCAATGTAGTTAACGACTGGACTAGTTGATGAAACCCACAAGTCATCAATCATTAAGTATACAGCGATGCACTATTTAAGCAGGCCAGAATCATCATCATCGTCATGGCACAGCAGGACATCAGAGTTCAACAAAGAACTCTGACCATTGACAAACATGGTATGGGAGACTCAGCTAGTGTCGCACAGACATCCCAGTATAGCTCAATGGGTCGCCGGGGTACACAAACCGTCACACCACAGTGAGGCCGCCACGAAGAGACTGGACCTTACCGTGGTTGGTCCAGGTTAGAGGTCTGACGAACACAGTCTCCTGGTCCTCCAGGTTGGGGGTTAGAACATGTATGGCGACTTGTTCCGTAGAAAAGGTAATGCATTTGCATTTCGCCGCCAAACACCGCTGCCTTGCGGTTAGGCTTTTGAGCCAAAGGCTTTGGTTGAGGACCCTAATCGTCCTCCTGTCTAGGTG